AGGCCTGATAGTTTAAGATAGTCTCTACATAGTTTGAGAGTTAGATTGTTTCAATATGCTCTAACCTGTGCTGTAGAAAAAGTGTTATCTGGTGATTGCTGCAGAGTGCTGCAGGACTGCTATTTGTCAGGACAAAGGAAAGATTATTACCTTTATCCACTTTTATATACTGTGCTTTGCACCTTTAATATCATTCAAATTCAACTTTAATTTCAACTGCTTGTAGAGTAAAACTGACTTTGCTTCTGCAGCCCCAAATCTCAGCAGTGCCAAATGACACACTGCAAAGACTGCTGTGTGTTTCACCTGTTTGGGGTGAATGTTTGATTCTTGCAGGACCCTTCCTGTGGACCTGTTTCAGGGGTTTTTATCTCATTTTTGTCTTTTGCTTGAAGTGTTTAATATGTCTTAACGTAACAGCTCAGTTTGATGCCTAGCAATACCATAGTAGGTAGGCACCAAAGAAATAGAATTTATTATGATGATGCTGAGTTCAAGTACCAGGGAAGTCTTCAGGATATCTTGGTACAGTTGTCACTGTGGTTGCAACTGATACAAATTTTGATTTATTGTTGCACTGTTAATTCTTGTACATAATTATGTGGGATGCACAGGATGTATTTTAGCAATGTGCCAAAGTCAAAATAATAATAATAACAATAATAATAATAATAATAATAATAATAGGATTAGCCTAGAATTTGAATTTGGTAAAAGTGCTCTTTGGTTTACTGGCATTGGTAATCAAAGCAAGAAGGGAAACAGACTCCTTTTAATTTAACAGGACAAAGGTAAATCACAGCTACCACTCATTCCTTTGTTGTTTTTTCCAGGTGATGGTATGTGTCCCTTTAAGTTCATGGGTAAATTGAGTGTTGTGTCCTGCTTACAGCCAGGATGCTCTGGTGACTGCTGCCTAACCCCCTCTAACCAGTAACCCAGCAAAGGCCTGTTTTCATCTGTAAAGCTCCCTGTAACTCACCCACATGCAAATGCTTCTGACCTTAATTAAAGCAGTTCACCTCTCTCTGCCTCAAGGGATGGTTTCCTCATAAGGCAGTTGTGCTTAATTAGCATTTGCATAGCATTCTGCTGGTTGCTCTCCGGGAGCGTTGTTCGGTAGGAGCGTGGGATTGCTGAAGCCTGACTGGCAAGCTTTGCACCCTCCTAATTGACACAGAAGCCAAGTAGAAGTTACACAAGGAAAGAACAGAGAATCGTTAATGATGGATCATTAGCAAGTAGCTCCTTTGAATGAATGTAGATAACTTTATAACTCTATCAAAGTGAAAAGTAGCGTGATGAATTATGCATCAAACAATAAAAGCTCAAGGAAGACACTGGTTTTATAATTGCTGTGCAATTTTCTAGCATGCTGTAGTTTGTAAGATTAATTTCTTTGGGAAGTGTGAAGCATTCTATGCCTGTTGTACACTTAATGTCAATTTTGTTTTTCTCTCATTAGAGGTTTTATTCTGAGTCTTTTGATGTCGCTGAAAATACTCCCAGGGTTTGAGATATGAAATTTTTATACTAACAAAAATTTGCACAAGCAAGTGAAAAGTGTATAGCTTCTAAACTAGTTCCTTTGAAGGTTTGCTGATTTCTCAGTATGAAAAGTTCTCAGTTGCACACACCTGAAATAAGATTGCTTTATATCTATATATTATTATATTTTTAATAGAAATTGCCTAATAGTTTTGTGGCTACACTGAATTTCTAGACTAATACATCTCTAAGGGGCATTTTTGCTCTGAAGTTATCTTCAGAGGAATTTCAGTTGGCACAGATAAATCATTCCTGTGGCTTGCACTAGTGCCAGTTCAGCCCTCAGTCAGTCCTAGGAAGAGCAATTAATACAAATATTGCCTAGCGATGTCACATGTCCCTTTAAAATGTACTGATCTCTCACCTGAGATTTCCTCTGAAAATTGAACTGTGTTCAAAGTGAGTAGAATTAGAGGAATTAGTTAGTAGAAAAGTTACCCCTCATGTAAGCTGTTTCTTAGCTTTCATGGATAGCTGTGGGAGATCATCTAATCCATCAGCAAGCCCCAGGAATCAGCCTTAAAATCAGCTATGCTAGAATAATTTTTTTGTTCCTAAAGACCTGATAGATAAGGACTCCACAACCACCTCACATAGCCTGTTTCAGCATTTTGCCACACCTATCATTATGAAAATTTATTCTCTACTACTTATTTTCAGGGTTTTTTGTTACAATTCAAATCCTTTGTTTCTCATTCATCAGGAATGTGAAAAAGGATTTATTTCCTTGCAGAAAGGTTGTATGGATTTTGGGGGAGTTGTGAGTTTGTGTGGTTTTGTTATTGTTGGTGGTTATTTTTTACCTTTTCTGAAGACAGTTTTGACGACCTTTTTCTTTGGCCTTTCTCTTTAGGTCCATGATCCCACTTTGTTCAGTATGTCATGTTTTCTGTGATCACTTTTGTTGGTGTCCTGTAGAACCTCTTCAGGTGTTCCAGCTGGCTGTGCAATGGGGGCCCCACAGCAGACACAGCTCCAGCTGTGACCTGCCAGCTCTAACTAGAGGAAAAAAGATCATTTTGTGTGTTCTGCAGGATTCTCTCATGTTTGTACATCCCTGTATGATGCTTGCCTGCCTTACAACAGCATGATGTTGTTGATTTATTTTCACTTTGTGATCTAGAATAACCCCTAGCAATTCCTACATTGCTATTTGTCCCCTTCCCTATATTTATGTAATTAAATGTAATTCCTTCCCCTTGACATTATTGAATTTCACCTTGTTTTATCAGACCGTTTCTCCAGTGCCGCCAGATCATTGTGAAATCTGCTTCACAGTCAGTTGTAGCTTGAAGTCCCCAGAAACCTGAGCAGGTATAATCTGAGTTCCATCAACCAACCCAGTAAAAATATACTGATTAGTGCTTCATCCTGAACAGATTCCTCTGGAGCTCACTTGAAATGTTCTCTTTTACAGGATCCCAGGTAGCAATTCTCTCAGTATTGTGCCTGGCGTCAGATTTGCCTAGACCATGTTTCCTTAGTGAGTTTATGGAAAATAGCATTTTCTTTCTGAAAGTCAAATCTTGATCTGGCATGCTAGTGGTTGGAGGGCCATCTCACCTGACCTTAGATGTCTGCATTTAAGGTACTTGTCTACCCTCTCCTTTATGGAGAAACATAGGTGATCACAATTAATCTGGCCAGGTTTAGTCATTTACCAGTATCTTAAAAGACCTACACTGTAAGTGTGTCTCTTCATCTGCAGTGACTCCAAACACAATCTAAGCAACTGAAAATCCATACCTAGGCATTGTTATCTGAAGTTAGATGGGATGTATCTCATATTCTCCTGGTATAAAGACAAGAGATTGAGTGTACATTATTTGTTCTTAATAGATACATACATGCCAGCTGTTACTCATCTCGGGTACTTTCATTGTGATTATTTGTTTCAGTATCTAATGGAACTTGAAGTTAAATGATTTGGTCCACAATTCCCCAATTCTACCTCCTTTTCTTTTTAAACACAGGAACCATACCTGACCTCTTCCAGGAGCATACTTGTCAGGAACGTACCAAATCAGCTTGAAAAAAACTGTTTTTCTAAGCACCCTTTATCTTACTTTGTCCTACCTTGAGGTGAAAACCTTTACCATATTAACCATTGGACTACAGTTGATGAAGACTGTTGCAAAAGTGGCGTATTTTGGCACTCTGCATGACCTTTTCAGCATCTCTCCTCAAATAAATAGTAACTTCAAATAGCGAACTTCTCTCCTCGTGCCCTTATAGGATGACTTCTTGCTGTGTTTCATCTCCGTTGCTAGTTGATATTCTGTTTCTTCAGAAATAAGTCAAACACTGTTCTGCCTATTAAATTGCTCTATGTGTTTCTTTGCATTTCTACGTAAAGCTGTACTGTGATAGGCAAAGACATAACTACATATAATTTTTCTTGTAAATTCTTTTTGATGCTACGATAAAGACCATAGCTATGAATAGAGAAATCCTTTTGCCAATTGACCAAAGGCTCAAAGGTTGTCGAATTTTGTATTAAAGTTTTCAACTGAGAATTCAGGAAATTATTTTCCTCTATTTCCCTATAAAACAGTTAGTCTTTCTATGCATATGCTGAGTGCATACCTTCTGATGCCAGAGTATATTTGTGGCTTATTCTCTCTTCTGAGACTGGTAGTAATGGTATAGCTACTTGTCTTCAGGGAACTACACTGAAATCTCTGTACAGTTCACTACAGAGAATTGTTAAGAAATGAGATTTGACTACCTGCAATAGACATATAAATCTTGGTATCGTTGCCAGCTTCCCTAAGTGATTTCCACCTTTGAAATTATTGTTGCCAGAGTAAATAAACCATTGTTGATTTTCTTACGGCTGCTGCTACCTATATTTTTGATACAAAAATGTAAACCAAGCTGGGGAATATCGCTGCTGTGCATGATGTCAGTCGTACGTCGCTGCAGGATAACGGAGCACACTGCAGAGGCACTTGAGCTGTTGCTAACTGGAGATGGTCCCTCCCTTTGTCCAAAGAGCTGCTGCAGCAGTAACAGTGTGTTAATATGACACTTCATTGTGTTCTTATGCTTGTGCTGCCTCCTGTTGTAGGCAGCGTGGGGATTTCTGCATCACATCCTGTTGCATGGGCTGAGCATTGCCTGTGTCATTCAGGTAGCAGAGAGTGGTAGACCTGTGGTGTAGTATGATTTGGAGTACCCTGATATACATATCACTGGGAACAATGGGAAAACTTCCTTAACATTGGGCGAGTATTCAGCAATTCTGAGTTTGAGTGAACTACTTAAAACTGACTTATTGGTATATTAATGTGAATTGGAATTTTTTTAGTCTATAATTACAAAATATTTCTGTGATAATGACTATGATGACTGCTGTGAAAATAACATACTGTAAACTAGCATAGTCACTTCACTATAAATATGGGCAATAACTTTTGAAAATAATTTCCCTCCTATCTGCTTTTTTACAGGACCAGGTGTCAGATACAGTGAATTTGCTGTGTCACATCCGAAACCACCTCCACTTGTTGGACAGCATACAGTGGAGATACTGAAGGACATGCTGGGGTATGACGATGATGCCATAGAAGAGCTGCTCCGCACTGGTGCTGTGGCTCAGCATGAGGTCAGATAAGGAACATTAGCTACATTCCTTCACACTGAGTTCACATTACTTTGTCCTCTCTTTGCTCCCTTCAGCTCCCCTAATGGGACTCAAAGAGAAGACATAATTTAATTCCTAATTTTCTTCCATGTGTGTTTGTATGATTTTAACACTGATGTATCAAATAAACAATCTTATACTGTCTGAGTGAAAGATTTTCTTGGGGGGGGGTAAATGTAACTAATTATACAGTCCTGTGTGGCTACTCATTTTCTGTACTTCATGTGAAAAATTGAGTTCTTATCGTAATTACAATAATTGCCTACACGTTTGTCCCCTTGAGAAAAGAAGCAGAACCTTAAACATTTGTATACTAGAATCTCCAGTTGCAGAAAGCTGCCTTATACAATTATTTTAGTAGAAAATAGTTTATGTACAAACTGGTGGTTGATCTAACTGGTTTTGAACAGAACTATCAGTCAGGAACTCTTTGTCCATCTCTATTTTAAATCATGGGTAGAGTAACCATTGTAAAACTCACTTCAGTTCCCCGGTATTCCCAATTACCAGTATGTCTTTATATTACATTGCATGGTCATGACAATCCCAGCATGTTAGCAGAAATAAGCTGAAATTGGCACAGCTCTTCAGTTATGAAACAAGCCTATTCCAAGACCAGTTTAGAGACAAACTGTGATTGAATAGTCTTTTGTAATTTATTCAGAAAGGCCCAGGGTACTGTTAATTAAACATTGATCCACACAAAACCACATGCTGAATGTCAAATACCAGAACTTGCCAGACTTCTCAGTCTGGTTCTGTGGGTAGGTACTGATCCCTATCTCTGACTCTACTTGCCGTCCAAAGCACCTTTGCACAGGTTAAAATCTGTGCAAAACTTTTGACTCAGTCCCACCCCCATGATTAAAACATGGTGAGTGTTGACAAACCTTCCTCAGATTTAATAATACCATATCCTGCAGTAGGGTTGCTGTTAAGAGTAAGGCGCCACATGTTGCAAGAAGGTGGAAGAATTTGATCCATGACAGTAAGGAAAAGTCTAAAGAAGAGCCATTTCTTCTCCTCAAACCCATTTGGCAGTACTTCACGCCCAGAAGACATGCCATGCTCCTCTATTGCAGTATAGAATTTACAGCTAAAGCAAACTCAGCATATGGCAAGGGTCTAACCTTTGTTGTGTATGCCCTGGGAGCAAGGCAAAGCCCTTCTGTTCCTAGAACTAAATAAAACTAACTCAAACTGACACTCAACACCTAATGTCGGTATTTCTCTCAAAGTATCGGAAACAGGCCTGGCATTATAACTAGCTTGTCACTTTGTTTTCACTCTAACAAACAACATCCTCTGTATTACATTTGAACTTCACAAATCTGCATTACCTTCTGGGGAAAGAAAGAGGTTATTACATAATCAAATTGCAGTGGAACCCCACTGTGATTGCTCATTTTTGAAGCCTAGTGTGTTTTGGTTCATTTGTTTGGTTGTTTTCTCTGTGTTTTTGTATTCTTTTTTTCAGATCTCCTTTTTTTTTTTTTTTTTTTTTCTTTCACCGCATTCCTGGCACCAAACTCAATACTCTGACCATGTGCTAAAGAAATCATGAGATCCTGGAAGACTGACTTCTTAAATAAATATAGAAATAAGTCTGAATTGAGAATAGGGACACCATAGGGGAAGAATTGAAAGTTGACTGAAAGAAGTTTTGGTATAGTCCACCTTCCTTTTAATCTAAGGGGAACATCCCTTTTTTAATGAGAAAAGCAGCAATTTGAATTCAACGTCACACAGAATGGATCATCTGGTATTGAACTGAACTTTGTTTACTAATGAAAACTATTTAGCACTGTTAGATAACCTTCATGAGTAAATTTGCTGGTTTTACTTCGTTAAGGGCTCTTTTCTTCCCATTTCTAAGAATCACGTACATAAGATATAGTAAAATATTGTTCTGTTTTGTTCAAAGATTTCTAAAAAATTCTTGTTTTTCTGCGCTTTTCTAAGCCATGGAAATAGCTAATCACCACATCCTTGGCTACAGTAAACTGGCAGAACTTTGACTTTAACGTAACAATGCTGTTTTAGATCAGCTGAATATCAGGCTATTAACTCCATAACATATTTTGTGCAGAGTTCACATGCAAACAATGTTTTCCTTTCTTTTTTTTTTTTTTTTTTTTTTTTTTTTTTTTTTTTGTGTTGACAGTCAAATGCCTGAAGGGATAATCAGAGACATTATTTTGTCTCACCTCCAGTCCTTACTGCAGTCGCAGAAATCCAGATACCATTTCTCAGTGTTATAGTCATATACTCACACACAGACTGTTGCTAACTCTTCTTCAAGTCAAAAATAAGTGGAAGCCTTTAATTAGATGGGTGTCTGGAAGCCTAGAAATCCTGTAGCTTCCAAGGTCTGATCATGAAATCTTGCTCTTCCACAAGGTTTGGTCCTTTGATTTTGGATAATTTCAAAGACAGTTAAATAATTGTCATGATAATACCCAAGCTGTTTTAGTACCCCTTTCCTTTAAAAATGAACAAATAAATGTGGAAAAGGAGTGTTTACAAAATTTACTGAACTCTTCCCAAGAATCTTCAGGAATACATCTCTCTAGAGCTCAATTGTGTTTTGACAATCTTGTAATTTCAAAATGGTTTTCTCTTGTACTGCAAAACTAGAAATCAACCATCACATGGGATTCTGGATCTCATAAACTGAGATCCCCCCAGTTTGAAGGAAAGGATGTAGTTAGGAACGACTATACACAGCTGCGTCTGACAATGAATGTTTGTTTTTCTCTGCTTAAATTGGAGAGGAATGTGTTGGTACTGCCATGATGCACATGTGTGATTTACACATCACTGTATTAAAAAAAAAAAAAAGAGAGAGAGAGGACACGTCTGTTGTCTGGTTCAAAACTGGACCCACCTATAGCTGTTTCCCAGGAAGCTATAGCTACCATTGGAAAGGGAGATTCCATTTTGTCATCTGTTCTGACTCCATGGTCTATGGCCCCTTTGGCTCCATTCTCTGCATTAGGTGATCTCGTTGTTCTTCTATTGTCTTGACCATGCAAAATATTTCCTCAGCCCTCCTCATATAACTTGTCTTCCTTTCTTTTCCATGCAAGCTAGTAAAGCTCTTCACCATGTATAAATCACCCAGAAAAACTGGTGGGGTCAGGCTTGTTTTGCATAGCCTGAGGATCTCACTGAGGGATATTTTAATGCATCAAGGATAATTCCAATCAAACAACAAACAAATGGACAGTAATGGATTTTTCTTGCTCCTGCTCAGATCTTGTCCCTAGTATCTCTTCCCCAGAATCTTCCTGTGCACTTGGGAAGTCCGTGCATGGTTGTCTGCAATGAGTGCCCTAGAACTGACATTCAAAAGTAGGTTCTTTTTGATTAGTGGCCAGGAGGAACAAGTTACTCATTAGCAGAAGCCCACCAGCCTCAGCTGCTATCCAGCCTGTGTGCAAAGGCCGGTGAAGCCATATATTGTTAAGATTGATCTGTTGAAAGGGATCGCTTAATTGTGCTGGAAGGCAAATGTTCCTTTTCTTGTCAGGTTTATAAAATCAAAATCAACTGAAAAAAAGTTATTTTGTCTTTTTTTTTTTAATATAGAAACAAGCAGAGAAAGGGAAAGTAATTCTTGATTTACATACAAAATATAAACATTCTCTTTTTTTAAGTCCATTGAAATAGGGGCTTTTGATGCCTGTTGATATTAATCAGAATTTTGGCCTTGCTTCTTCAAAGATTAAAACTCAGCCCAAAAACGCCTTATGACAAGTAGCAGTCAGAATAACTCTCCCAGTGAGTGTGCATGCATATTCAAAAAACCGGGGAGAACATTTTCATTAAATTGTCATAGAGCTCTGCCACTCACAGAGCACTGTAAATCCTCAGCCTGGTGAACCTGGAGATAAAAGGCAGTTAGGCTAAAATGTTCATGATTTCTTTTAATATCTAAGTGACAAGACATAGTTAATCCTTTGACCTTCCTAACATTATAGCACTGTATTAAAATGTATTTATTTCCCCAAAAAAGTATTAAAATGTATTTAATTGCCAAAAGACAGAGGAAAGGTAAAGTACTTTCAGAGTTCAGGAATGCTGGCACAGCTGCTCACATTTCATGTCAGTGACATTAAACAGTGCCAGGTACAGTACTTTTCTTAACAACTTGTACATTGAGTTTAATGTGGCCTGGTGAAATGCTAAACGCTATTAGCTGGTGAAAAAAAACCCAACCAATCTCAGAGCAGTTCCTGCACTATCAGGTAACCTCCGCTACACAGAGGGCTGCATGCTACTTGCCAGTGTGATAAACGTACACTGATAAACAGTGATATAGTCACCTTTTTAAAGCTGACAACCAATCAGTTCAATTACTGTATGTTTCTGCTGTGACTGTAACTTGGATCAGATGTGTGAGAAAAATGCCTAGGATCACATATGCCAAAGACCCATGAAACTTTTGCAACAAGATCTCTTTTTTTGGCACAGGTTGTGTCAAGCATTGAAGGGGGGCCAAGCGAGGGTTGAGGTAGGGACAAATAGGGAAAGCAGGCTGGGGAGGAGCGCTGCACCTGCTTCTGTGCCTCAGCTTTTTCACTATTTGTCTATCTAATAACTACCCTAAACTGGCCAAAGACCTTTAAAGTGCAAGAAGAAATCTGAAGATGTGTAACCTGGTAGAGGAATGCATATGTAGCTTTCTTCTCTTGCAGATCCATTTTAGGAGAAGCTAAAGTTTCACATTAAAAAGTTGCATATAAAAACACAGGGCAGTGTGTACATTTCCCACTGACACTCTTCTCCTGAAGGATTGAGCCTCTGAGTAAAGCAAATGTTGTGTGAGAGAAGGGACAGTTCTCTGATTTTTTTTTTTTTTTTTTTTTTTTCATCAAAATCCTTTCTCTCTCCCAAAGCCAAAAGTAAAGACTTTTAGCTGAAAGATGGAAATACTGATTCAACAATGCCACTGCAAGTCACAGTGCAAGTATCTCATGCTCCTTTCATCTTCAGGCCACGTGACCTTGGGACTCCTGTGATACATCATTCAAGTTTATCATGAGAGTATACTGAGCTGCTTAATGGGAAATGAAATCTAGCCAGAGGAGAACGAGATCATGAAGCAGTCACTCTGCAAAACTCTACATGAGTCACTGGGGCACCATTTTTCTGGATGCA